ACACACACACACACACACACACACACACACACACACACCTCTAGTTGCCTGTTTCCAGTTTACAACCTTGATTCTCAACCCCACATGGCCAGTCCTGGATGTTCCTGTCCAGCAGGCAGAATAGAGGTGGAAGGGCATGGTAGAGCAGGTAGGTCTCCGACAGACCCCAGGAGTGTCTCCCATTTCCAGGACAGACACTGGGAAATTTGCAAGGACCACCTATCTGAGCAGCAGGATCTGCAGAAGCCTAGCAGTGCCTCTGGAACTGAAGCCAGAGGGGCAGGGGTGGGTATGTAGCTCCTGCTGGCTTTACCCCACCCAAGGGGACTTCACAAGAGCAACATCTGCTTGGCAGCTACGTCGTCAAGTGTATCTGAGAGCATTAGAAAGATCTGCTACTGTAAAACCTCCGCCATGAGGCTGGAGTTTATTGGGAACCACACATGGGACTGCTTGGGGCCTGTCGACATCCCATGCTAGGAGACCAAACACGTCCTTCACCCTCAGCTTTTGGCCACTAAACTCCAAAGCCTGTACCCTGCTCCCTAGTCCCCAAGAAAGTAGAATCCGGACTTCAGGGAAGGACAGGACACAAAGACAAGAACACTTCTTGCTTGTGGTCCTGGGGTTTCATGAGACCACAGCTCACCTCCCTTCTTACCAGCCTTTCCACTGCCCACATATTCTGGTTAATAAGCAGAGCGAAGTTACTCGGTAGCCCACAGGGAGCTAGCTTCCCCTTAGTTCTGGGCTGTGAGCACATTCATACTTAAGACTGTTTCTTTGTGTTTTGAAGAGTCTGTCTCTGTAGTAACCACACGTTAACAGACACACAGTGTCCCTCCATTGATAGCTGACACAGAGCAGGACATGGGCCCCTCCACTGTCCTGTGTCAGCCCTTCCGTGGGTAGGGCTAGAAGGTGGCCTTGGAGTGTCCAAAGATGCAGATAGGGAAGTGCTTCACATGGGAAGACCACTGGGCAGCCAGCTGGAAGAACTTGACATCGCTGCATTCCACGCCATCGATGAGGACTGTGGGAGAGGGCCACCTAACCATCTGCCTGCCTGGCGAGGCAACCACCTGAAATGGTGGGCTGCTGCCAGGAGGCAGGGTGATCCTGAACTGGAGGAAGCCATGCTTACCAGGCCCATTCTACCACCTGCCCTCCCAAGACTCAGTGCCATGGTGGGTCTACCTCCCGGGGACTAGTGGCCAAGGCAGTCTAGCCACACTTCAGCCAGGCATGACTCATTATGCCACGTCCACTTCACAAGGTCCTACTTAAAATAGCTGCATTTCCAGAGGGAGCCTTAGGAAGACTCAGGACCTAAATCCACAGAGGACCAAGAGTCCTACACTCTGAATGCACTGCTTACAGAATAGCCTCTGTAAGACACTTAGGTATAAAACCAATCGTTAAAATGAAGAAAGGAAGGGCTGGGAATATAGCCCAATGGTAGAGCATTTGCCTAGCATGCATGAAACCCTAGGTTCAATCTCTAGCAACCCCTACATCTCTATCAATAAAAACACAGAAAAGGCTGAAAAATTATTTGAATTTGAAAGGCTATTAGATGCATGTAAGTACCTTATCAAAATGTGTTCCAAGTGTGAATTTCTCTAAGAATGCCTTTCATAGCAAAACTGGTTCCTGTGCTGGATCTGAAAAGCCAGCCATCTGTTTTGCTCTGCATTCACATTTTATAGACAGAACCAAAAAGGACCTGGGTCATGGACTGATTCCCCCAGCACCCTATAAAGCAGCCCCTTGGCCCATGCTCACCCCGAAGCATGTTCTGTTGGTGCTTAGCTGTGCAGATCAGCCGGCTGATGCCTTCGATGCACTGGCTTTTAGATTCCACATCCTTGTCCTTGGTTTTCTTGGGCAAAAACATCACTGGGAAGAAAAGAGACCTGCTGTTGATCCACTGCTCCTTCAGGGCCAGGCTGGCCAGAGCCTCAGCAGCAGGCAGGACGGGAGAAAAACAGCGATGGGGACTTGGCTGGCCCCTGCTCACCTGGGGCCAGCTTCTTGTTGTGAGCACATACAGAGCACCCTCCTGCCTGATAAGTCTACCTGAAGTCAGAAGCTGCCTAGAACCTCAGTGTCCTCACAGCCATCAAAACATATCTGACTGCCAACCCCTTCTGAAGTGAGTTGTGGGCTCATGATTATGAATTTACTGGGAACTTGCTGAGGGGTGAGAATGATATCCTCATCACCAATAATCACCACAGAGACCCCTCTGCTATTGTCCAGCCCTGCTCAGTATATTCCCACCTCACCCTTCTTGTTCTTCTCCTTGGTGACCACAGTCATGGACATGGTGGGTGTGGCTGCAGCCTCGCCACTGCTGGGCAGCCTGCTGACCTGGAGGGACCGGAAAGTGCACTTGAGCGTGTTTTTGGTGGTGGGCAAGTCCTTCTTCTCAGCATCTCTCTTCCTGTCCGCGGGCTGTGCTGCCGTCCAGTAGTCCACCTGCAGCCCCATGAGCTCGGCGCCGATGCCCTGGCTGTGAAAGGCAGAGGGAAGGAGCTCACACTCATGATGTACGTCACTGTGCCATTGTAGGCAAGGAGGTGTGGCTGGCACCTTACCTACTAACTTGCTAGCCAGTGCCAGTGAACTATAAGAAGCTCTGCAGAGCTGACTGCCCACTTGTCTTCTGGCATACTGTTAGTGCCCTGGCAAAATTGCCATGCAGCCTGTACACCTACTCTCCTAGGACTTAGATGAACAGCTTCATCAGAGGTTGAGTGGCTGGTGGGAGCAGGTAGCTAGAAGGGCCCTGACAAAGAGCCAGCTGACTGACTGGACCTTCAGGCCGTGTTCATTATGCACTCAAACTCCCCGGTTGAACTTGGTTGTCTGAGTTCTGCTCAAGACTCGGGTGGCCTGTGTGGGGCCTGAAGAGCTGTCCCCTGCACCGCCCCCGTCGGCCCCTCTTTAACAGCCCACTCTGCGCAAAGGTGCGTCCAGGCTCAGTGAGGCCCATGTTCGTTTATGGTGACTCCTGTCCCTAGGAGTCTTCATTAAAGACACCAGCTACCTCCTACACTGCTCTATGGCACCCGGCCCCAGCCCCAAGTGTCCCTCACAGGACCCCCACCACACCTTCACCAGTGTCTGCCCGTATTGCTGACAAGACGGGAACACAAAGGGTGGATGTCACCTTATAACACGTAAGATGAGAGCCATGTTGTTTACCTGGGGGAGGACAGGCCTCCGCTCACTGAAGGGGAGGAGGGTGGAGTAGGTGAAGCCTCCTTGGCCGCAGGAGATATAGACACAGACGGTGGGGTGGAAGAGAGCACACTGGAGCCCGAGGGGGCCGCATCGTCCGAGTCTCCTTGGGGAAGAGTCACAGGCAGTGGTCAGACAGCCTCCCGGTCGGCCCACAGTTGGCTGGAGCCTGAGTTAGGGCTGGAGCGGCAGCTCTCAGGGCAAGTAGGGTAGGCAGAGGAACTCATGTGGGGGGCAGGACAGCATTTCTTGGCTGGGAGAACTGCCACTTTGCCTTGAACCGAGGCTTTGTGAGTACAGGAGAATCAGTAGACACTTGCTGGTCCTTCAGACCAGAGGGACCACCTATCCAGAGGGCTACTGAACAGTCCTCAAAGAGGGATGAAGTTACCTGATGTGGCTGAAGATGGCTCCACAATTCCAACCTTCACAACCTGGGAAGTAATAGATGCTGGCTAGAGGCAGGTGGGGAGGTCCAGGAGCCCTGCTGCTCTGCTTAGGCACCACTTTGGAGTTCATCTCAGATAGGTTCCTATGTCCCTGCTGCTGCCCAGCTTCTGTACCCACAGAATAGGAAACAGGTCCCGGCATCCTCCTATCTATGGGGCATGGCTCAGCTCTGGACAGTGGCAAACACCATGTGCATGTGACTGGTTAGTCCCAGACATCCATCAGACTCGGATGCTGGCAGGAGAAACATGGATGCAGAAGCAAAAGCTGCTCCGAATACTGTGTGGGCCAAGTGGGAGAGTGCTTCAGGCTTGAACCGTCCAGCATGGTGGCCACTAGCCACATGAAGCTGTGGCAGTCCAGAGTGAATTACAGTATCACATTCAGTCTCAGCCATGTGAGGTACCCAAAGAGCACTTCTGTCACTACAGAAAGGGCCCCGCCCAGGATGCTATAAAGATAGCTGTCACTGCCTGGAGATCAAGTGTCATGGTGCTCTAGAGGTCTCACAGCAGGACAACCTATGAGAGATGAAAAGGCTGTAAAAATGGGACTGAGAGCGAGCCTCCACATTTAGTCATGTCTAGCCTATGCCAGGAGGTCCAGCCCTAACTGAGCAAACCTGCCAGAAGGCTCATCCTTATCTTGTAGACAGGGCTGAGCCTCCTCGCCTGAGTGCTGAGTTGACAGCCTGACACACCTCCCCCAGAAAAGGGGCTTACACTCCCATGTATTCATTATGGGAACCAAACAATGCAGGAAGGGAGCAAGGAGCATTTATGAGAAGGGATTAAGCAGTCCTCGGTGGGCTCACATGGTGAGGAAGGTTCTTGTATGTGTAAGCTAATAGAAAAGTACTCTATTTTGACAGGAATCTTGGCAGGTTCATGTTCCCAGTGAACGAAGCTGGTGATGATACTCACCCCAACAAAGGGAATGAACCTCTGAGAGGATTCTTCATCAGGGCTGGGAGCAAAAACAGACTGTTAGACTCTCTGCTACAGCACCCCAACCTCGGCTGTCCTCTGCCCAGGGGCCCAGCCCACTCACCCCTAACCGCTACCCACCATGGCCCCCAGCCACATCTCCTGCCCATAGGTACTCTTTGTCACTACAGAAAAGCCCCTGGATGACCTGGCTGATACGTGGATCCTTTCCCGTATACCAACATAACGATAAGCAGAGGATTTCTGCACCCCGGGAGGAAGCTGGTGTACAGTCCTGCAACTGGGGACGAACACTAGAGCTGGAGACCTCGAGGGAAAGAGCTCCCATTGCAGGGCTGGGCAGCCCGGCCCACCTGCCGCTCCCGGCCGACCAAGCCAACCCCGTGCTTCCCGTGTATGCCCATGGGGTCCAGAACCGGGCCTTCTCCAGTGACCGGGGTTGCCCTTCCCAAAACCAGTGCGTGAAGGTTTCTTCCCGAGTCTGTGAAGTCAGTGCCATCTACACAGCCTGCAGCTTTGGCTGACATGCTGGGGTAGGCATGCGAGGTTCTAACTAACATCTAAGTGTAGTCTGAGGCCTGGGCAGGACTCTTGGGACGAGTTTGAATAGCTGACCAGGATTAGTGACTGGATGAGGTACTGTCTGTACTTGACTCTGTACAGCACTTGGCAAACAGCAGCTTGTCCTGGAAGTGCTCGTCATGCCCATCCACATGAAGATGCCAAGGGCCTGAGATCAGGAGCCAAGATGAAGAATCATTCGCTGTCCTCCTTCCACGCACTACCCACAGGGCTAGCCATGTGGTGCATCTCTGAGGAGGAGGCTCCCTGACCAGTCCCCCACAAGGCACAGCCTCAGCATGGTACACATGGTTCCATCAGCAGTCAGAGTGAGTCCTGCATCTCTTGGAAGGACTGACGGCAGAGGCAGTCCTATTTCCTCCATGCCCTTCCCGCCTGCCCTCTCCCGAGACTTCCTGACCCGAAGAGCATGTTAGCAGCTGGAGTCATTTCTGCATGGTTCTCTCAACTCTATCTGGTTTCCTTACACTGCTACTAGAGGCCAGAACACCGGCTGCAGAGATGTGCATGTACATGAAGCCAAGTGCTGAGATGGATGGGCTTCTTCCTGTCTCGAGGCTTGGGGGTGCCTCTCAGGTGTCACACTGCAGCAGGTGCTGCCTACCACGGTTTCAGCGAGACATCTTTGTGGGAAAGAGAACTCGGGAGGTGTGTGGCCGGCCAGTCACCTGTCTTGGGCAGCATGAGCTTCCAAGACTGGCAGCTCATCTCCCTGGTGGGGCAGAGGCTTGTTCCCAGTGCTCCTACTCACAATGCACCCACAAGATAGACCAGTGGCCTATGCAGCAAGAGGGGTCTCTCTATGTCCTCCTCATACCCACAGGCCTGTCAGATGTCTTGGACTGTGCTGGCTAAATCCCCAGCCTTCCTTTCCTTTCTAAGGAGGGCAGTTTTGACAAGAGAAACCTCTTCTCCCTTATCCATTTCAAATTACTCAACTCCTGGCCCCAATCTGCCCTACTCTTGTCTGCCCACTTCACACAACATTCCAGGCCCAGGTCAAATGTAAACAGCAGGCAAGCATAGTGGTTCCTAATGTGGAGGGCTCTAGCCCACTGGGCCACCCATACTCTGTAGGGCCCTCTAGGACCATGGCAGAGCAGCCTCTTATCTGTGGTCCACTCTAAGATACTTGGGAACAGAGCGGGGCTGACAAGGCCATGTGTGACAAGACACAGGAGACATTGCAACATGGAGAAGCTACCGGAACTCAAAGCCAGGCTGCATCCAGGGCCATGCAGACAGAGCCAGCGTAGGTACAGCAACTGTGACACCAGTGCCACATTGCATCCTGGGCCATGCAGACAGCACCAGCATGGGTGCAACAGCAGTGACACTAGCTGGCAAACCAAGAGCCGGGATGCAGAGGCAGCCAGGGCCTGTAGGACAGGTACTCATGGAAGTCAAGTGGCTGGCGTCTAAGAACCATGCCCTTGATCTGTTCCCAAGACCTGCCATGAAGCCAAAGACACAGGCCTGGGCCCCACGACCATTTCACCCATATACACCAGAACAGGAGCCTGGAGCATGTGCTGTCCCTGTATGACTGGGGGGCTCAGCTGCCATCAGAGGACAAGCTCCAGTCCCAGCTTCAGGTAAGAGGCACACAGGAGCAGGCCCTCTCTGCCAGAGCTCCACAGGGAAGGCCAGGCAACACGGGTCCTTGCTGGTTCCTTGCAGGTACCCGTGCCTACCTAGTGCCGGTGTCACTACTGTGCCACAGGCAAAGGGAGGTATGGGGGACAGAGTGTCTCCTCAAGCCTGGTTCACTAGACAGAAGTACAGCACAGGAGAGCATGCTGCAGGCTCTTCCTTTCACAGCCGCTGGCACAGGCCAAGCCTCGAGGCAGGAGAGAGGATGAAGGCTGGTCTTTCTCTAATTTGGGGGCTTGTTTAGCAGGGCAAACTGGTATTCAAGGGCCCTCCTCTGTGTCCTGCTGGCTGGGATAATGGGTAGCACTACCAGCAATGAGGACTCTGGACCCATGACTCGGTCCTGGGCACTCTTCCCAGGAGAACAGATACCTTGAGGCCAGTGTGCAGGACCCTCTCAGCAAGGAAAAGGGTAGCTCTGAGGGTACCTGGGAGTAGTCAAGTTTTCAGATGAGGCCTTCCCAGGGAAGAAAAGCACTTTACCCCTACTTAGGGTCCTCAAAAGCCTGGCTGCCCCTCCAAAGAAACTAGAAAAGATATTACAACCCCTCTGTGCCTCTGCTAGCCCTGGGAGCTGCCTTTATAGTGCAGAAAGTGGGTAGGGCCCTGGCACACTGTGCCAGCTCCGTGATCTCCTACCTCCACACTCTTAAATTCAGGCCCAACACTGGTGGTGCCATGCTCTCCTGAGGCTGTGTGTGTGGCCAGATTGCTGCTATCGTCAAGTGCGAGGAGCAAAGCCAGCACGGGAAGTCAGACGCCAACCCCAGGGTCCACACAAGCTTAGTTTAACAGTACAAACTGCCTGAGTTGGCTCTCTGGGCCAAAGGACCCATGTGCGGCTCTCCCAAGAAAGGGGTTCATTCCTGCTCCTCAAGGAACAGGTATCCTGCCTGGGCATCAGAGGAGAGGCACTTGGGCAATGATCCTGCTAAACAAGCCCTAAAGACCAGCCTAGAGACAGATAGGGGTGTAGGCCAGAGAGCTGTACCTCAGGGTAAAGTCAAAGTGAAAGTGCTTTTTCCTTTTTTGGAAAGCCACCAAGAGAGAAAACATACATGTTAGGACACCCAGGAATAACAACAAACCCTCCACACACTGAGGCAGGAGCAGAATGGCTCCCAGTGGTCTGGCTGGCTCTTCACCCACCTTGATCTGGAGCAGCAGCTGGGAGGGGGATGAGGGTTCCTAGAGGGTCTGTGCAGGATGGATCTGCCCCCCACCACCAGGAGGTCCCTGACCACCAGGCAGTCAGGGGGCAAGGCTCAACTTCTCTGTTGACCTACTACATTGGATTAGCCTTCAACTATCTTTCGGTCCGGGGAAGGTAGTGTGTGTGGTATGTGCAATTTACAAGAGATTCAGAACTTTGCTGTCATTAGCTGCAGGGTCTATGCTCCTCCTGAGCAAGGTGCTAGGCCCACCTTGGACACCAAAGAGGAGGCTGCCTTAGGCTCTGTGCATTTAACTCTTCTTGACTGCATGTAGGGTAGTGTGGTAGTTTGAAATAAAATGGCCCCCAAAGAAAGTGGCATTATAAAGGAGGCGTGGCCTTGTTGGAGAAGTGTGTCATTGTGGAGGTGGGCTTTGAGGTCTCATATCTGCTCAAGCCACACCCAGTGCCTCAGTACACTTCCTATTGCCTCTGGATCAAGATGTAGGATTCTCAGCTACTTCTCCAGCACCGTATCTGCCTGCACACTGCCATGTCCCACCATAGTAATAATGGACTGAACCTCTGAACTGTAAGCCGCCCAATTAAATGTTTTCTTCTATAAGAGTTGTCATGGTCATAGTGTCTCTTCATGGCAATAGAAACCCTAAGACAGGTAGATTGTCCAGAGGTCTGAGCCAAAAAAGGTATGTTCAGTTCCCTAAGATGCAGTGTTGAGAAGGCACTGCCGAAGGCCCTCAGCTTCTTGAGAGGAAGGATCTAGGTCATTCTGTCCAATCGCTCACACACAACTCCTGAGCACTGCCCCACTCTGGGCAGATGGGTTATGACCTGACTGTTCACCCAGAGGCCAGACCCAGGGTAGGGACCTGTGGGGAAGGAGCCATGTGGAAGAAATACGACCAGATATGAGGAATACAGGAACAAGTACCTTTTACTACATCGTGTAGAATGTTAACATGCACAAAATAAAAGGTTCTGAAAACTCAACCGGGTATTCTGATCTGACACAGATTCATTACAGGCTCTTGTCAAGCAGGCACACTCAGGTTTTCCACCCTGGCCCCTTGAATCTATCCCACAGCTTATCAAGAGCAGAGGGGCCGGTACTTCCTCCAGGGCCCCCAGCCCTGGCCCACCATGTTACCTCTTCTGCTTGTAGGTCAGCATAGCCTCTGCGATGGGCAGCTGGTGAGCACAGTTGGCTCCTGAGATGTACTGGGTGATGCGTGACACGATGTCTGGTGTGTCCTGCACTGCACAAGGCAGAGGCGACAGAGGTCAGCACGGTGACGAGGATGATCTGCTGGGGTCTGGGCTGTGTCCCGGGCACTATATTCTGGCTCTTCTCTGTTTGCTTTCTGCTAGCTGCCTCTGGCTCAAGTGCCCACCCACAACGGTCCTAGACAGGGTGCCAGGGTTCCTTCTCAAATCCTGAAGGCCTGTTCTGGAGTCCTGTGCCTGCCCCTTCCCAATGTCACAGCCCACAACAAGGCTAAAAACTCAGGCTGGGTGAGGGAAGCCCCATAACATCCATCCCACCCCACAGTGAGCCTGAGAAATAGGATCTCTTGTGATGGGAGGTCTCCAGTAAAAGGGGCCTTTTCTCCAATGCAAGGGGCAGCCCCCCTCACCAACACAGTGCCCTGGCCTCACCACTGCTCTGGGCTTCCAGCTTGTTGAACAGGTCTCTCCAGGCCAGATCCTGGAAGAAGTTGTTGTAGCGGTAGTCCACAGAGCCCAGGTACCTGGCCACAGGGTGGGAGCCTGGGAGCCCCAGAAAATCTATCACCATGTGGAGTTGCCCAACCCCAGACAACCCAGCTGCCCTGAGCCCCTCTGCTGTAAGCCTGTGGGGGGGGGGGCTATGACAAAGTTCCCACTTCCTGTTGCTCTACCAGGGAAGGCAAATGAGATGGACAAAAGTCAAAGGCGAATGCAGAAAGACCAATGAAGACAATAAGGCAAGGCTCCCAGGTGAGTGCTGCCTTTAAACTTGACTGCTGGTAAACAGATGAAGCCCGGGCAGGTGTGTTTTATAGTTATGCATCTATAGAACTCCCAATGGCTACTGGAGTTCAAGTCCACAGAGCCATAACAACCTATAAAGACTGTCTTGCATTTTTGGTGACAGAAACCAAAGCTCATGTGGAGTGATCTGCGGTGGACCACTAGTTTGCCTGTGACAGAATCTACGTGATTAGGACATTTGTGAAAGAGAAGGAAGGAAAGTGGAGGGAAGACTCAGGTCTCACTGTACAGCCTGCTTCCAGGCTGATCCGGAACTTTTGACCCTTAGCTTCCGAGTGCTAGGGTGACAGGCATAACACTAGATCTGGCAGACATGACCTTTCAATGTGGTGAAAATAACTGAATTGTTAACAACAGAAGCATGTCATATTGGCACCTCTACCCTCTCCAGGCTGTGTCCCTGTCTCTGAGGTCTCTCAGGTTTAGTCACGGGTGGCCAGTAGCCCAAGGCCCCTCACCCAGGGGGATGATGAGGAAGCGCATGTAGCCGAGCCAGTCAGGCGTCTTGTGAGACAGCTGCTCCACGAAGAGCCGCAGGATGGCGCTGAGGTAATGCTGTGCTCCCGCCACAGCGATCTTCACAGGGGTTGGTGGCTGAGAATTGCAGTTGCAGCTGCGATCCCAAGAGGGTGGGGCAGAGAGGGACAGATGCCTCACTGTCTCTGGCCCAGGATCACCCTGCTGAGCTCTAGGAAGCCTATGGCCCTCAGGTGCAGGGGCTATCAAACCCAGGACGCCCCACCAAAAGGAGTTCTGAGTTTGGGGGATAGGAAGCCGAATATCTGCCTGGATATGCCTGGGCCAGAAGACTGTGCTCAAGACCTCTGCTAGGATCACTGTAAATGGAAGCAGCCCACCAGAGAGTGCTTCTTCCCCTTATCACCCTTAAATGAGCTTCAAGATACCCACTGGGAATCAGAATAAAGCTCTGGGGAGTCTATGGGAAGCACATCCGGAACCATCCATGATTCTCAAGATGAAATATCCTCTGTCTCCAAACAGCAGGCAGGGTTGGGATGTAAGGCCCCAGCAAATACTCAGGCAGAAATGCCAAAGGGTGGTGCCCCAAGTAAGGAAGGATGGCAGACTCACTATCGCTGTATCCGAGAGACAATGGTGCTGAAGGCAGCCTGCACATCAGCAGCAGAGCATGTGCATACCACAGGAAGTGTATGCTTCTGTAGGACATCTGAGAGGAACTAGAAAGGGACAAGCTGACAATGACCTTGGCATAGCACCTGGTAGTCCCTATCCAACCCTCATCACAGGTCCCACAGGACCCACAGATATCCAGGCAAAGCTGATCATCAGCATCCCCCACTCCCCCAGCATGGACTGGTGTTCTCCAAAGCCATATGAAGCCTTAATTCCCCAGAAGACAGAGCACATGGCTGTACCCCTTACCTGTCCCTGCCAGTCAGAGGTATTGACAAGAATGATATTCTCGGGGAGTTGGTCATCAGAGATGAGGATGTGGTTCAGTTGGTCATACACAGTTTTCCTGGGAATCTAGAGATAGTGAGGTGTCCACTCAAGGAGATGCGTCACCCAGGCCTTTCAACTTCCAGCCCTGGGCCTCAATACTCTATATCCCAAAGCAGGCATGGAGGCCGGGAGTAAGTAAGAAAGTGCCTAACAAGGACCCTTGGTCTGGGGTGGTCACCCTTTGGGTGGCTCTGATTCAGAGAGAGAATCAGGATGGCTAAAACTAGCCCCAGGGTCAACAGGCTTCCTAACAAGAGGACCCATGACTGTCTTCCTGTCTGCAGGGATTTCACAGTAAACCTTCCAGGTCTGCCCAGGCTTCAGGGCCCCTGCGCTTCTCTCTGCCCGTGCCTGCTACTTGGAGCATCCTCCCTCAGCTCCCACCCTAACCTGCAGCTGGCTCCGCGTGTCGGGACAGCGCTCATTGTCCAGGCTGTTGGCCCGCTCATTCTGCGGTCGAGCTGGCTGCCGCTCCTTCAGGGATGTGCTCCGGCCCCGGCGGCCAGCTGGCTTTGCCTCTGACCTGCTGGACACCAGGAAAGGCAAGGAGAACAGCTGGGGTGGCAGGCCAAATGTCCCCTGCAGGCTGCACACTGAACTGTCCCACAACAGCTGCCACCACGCCCACCCGGTGACAGCAGACCTGTGATGTGACATTGCAATCTCCCTAGCACCCTGGGCCCTGAGCAGTTTCATTTCCAAGAACAGCAGAATGGAAGTAGGTGGCACCTCTTGGGCACACTGGCCTTAGGGTCGCAGGCCAGCAGATGGCCAGAGTCAGCAGCTATTACAGATGGGGTAGGGGACCCACATGCAGTTTCTGGAGTTGGCCCAAATAGTTGGCTTCCCACAACCCTTCCCCAAAGGAGTACATAGCCCCTCAGCGCAGGCCCACACCTGGTGGAGGGGATGACAAGAGACTCAGTCTTGGTGATTCTTCCGCTGGGTGGCAGCTTCTCAGTGAACACATCCAGGGTAGACGTCTCAGCCTCTGGACTATCATCAGGTTGCCCTGATGGCTCCCGAGGGGCTGGTGAACTCTGATGGATTGAGAAGGAGCCATATGCACCCACCAGCCAGAAACATTCATCATGCCTCTCCAATGCATGTGCCCCTGGTTTAGGGTAAGGCTCTGAGCATCCTCTGACCTAAGGTCTTGCATGAGGCACAGTCACATGGAGGCAAGAGGAGAGGCACTCCTCTCCTACAAGTAGCTCCTGGTCCAACTATTAGTAAGAGACCAGCACCCACCCACCCTGCACCATATCTGAGAGATTCCATGAGGGCCTGGGTCTGATAGCAAGGCTAGAGACACAGCCATCGCTTGAGCTACCCAGTCAATATCCAAGAAGGGTGAACCAAGGGTGCCCTGATCACCAGGCAGCCTGGTCATCCGAGGGTGGTGCACACATTTTCCATGTGGAGTTCACTGTACACTTGAGTTCTGCTGCACATGGTGAATGCTCCCCATGCTTGCTTACAAGGGCTACCGTGTCAGAGATGCTGTCACTTGGCTGCTGGCCTCCCAGGGATCTCATCTTCTCAGGTACATCAGCCTGCAGGTGATGAGACAGGAATTGGGCTGTGCTGCAGAACGAGGATGTCTACTTTTGGATGGGGGGAAACCCAGGGAGACTAGCTTGGAATTTCACAGACCATGAGCTCAGGATTACATTAGAAGAATCACCTTCTACTGGGCAGAACCCTGAGCCCAGGACACATGACGCCCAGCTGGATACATGCTGGCTAGGCATTCAGGACTCATAGGGGCAGGAAGGATGAGAATGTCCAGCCTGGTCTAAGGGTCTTACCACTGCACAGCATGGCCCTACTCACCGGGCTTGGAGGCTCCCTGTGGCTCCGGGCACTGTGGATGCTCCCTATCTCTGTCTGTGAGCTGGAGTGTGACAGGCCTTCGAAGTATGGCCTGGATGAAGAAGGAGTAGATGTTATTTCCCAAGATCCCCTGTACACTGAAAAGGAGGTTCTACCCACTGCACAGAGAAGGGAAAGCAGCGTGGAACTCAACAGCAGAAGAGAGCTACATCCAAAGACGCAGGCCGTGTGGAAGAACGGTGTGACTACACATGCACTCCTGAGGGGACCTTATACACACAGTAGGATTCTGGAGTGACTGGACTCCAGGCAGGCACAGCTCCTGCACTGGCTATGAAGTCAGTTGCAGAAAACATGTATTCCAGGGCTGGTGAGATGGCTCCATGGGTAAAGGCACCTGCTGCCAAGCCTGAAGACCTGAGCTTGATCCTTGGGACCCACACAGTGGCAAGGAGAGACATAACCCTACCGATTTGTCTTCTGACCTCCATACATATGCTGTGGCACAGGCATGTCACCTCCCATAATAAAATTTAAATTTAAAAAAGAAGAAAAGAAGAAAATCAGCCAGGTGGTGGTAGCACACGCCTTTAATCCTAGCACTTGGAAGGTAGAGGCAGGAGGATCTCCGTGAATTTGAGACCAGCCTGGTCTACAAAACACTGTCATGATGATGATGACGATGATGATGATGGAAGAAGGAGAAGAGGAGGAAGAAGAAGAGGAGGAGGAGGAAGAGGAGGAAGAGGAAGAGGAAGAAGAGGAAGAGGAAGAGGAAGAAGAGGAAGGAGAAGAAGGAG